GTACTGACAGACAGACAGACAGAGAGAGTACTGACAGACAGACAGACAGAGAGAGTACTGACAGACAGACAGAGAGAGTACAGACAGACAGACAGACAGACAAAAAGACAGACTAACAGACACAGAGAGGACAGAACCGCCCCCGTTAGCTCAATTGGTTCAAGCGTCAGATTGCGTTGTGCAGGAGGTCCCGGGTTCAAACCCCAGCCGGTCTTTCTATAATATCAAGAAATGGATAGATATTCTAGTCTTCTTGGATAAGAACAAATAAACCGTAGGCACCGTCTCCTGCAGGGTTGGGGTAGGAGATGCTAATTTCCTATGCAAGAGATTACTGTGTGATGGATGTCCTCCCCTGGGGTGTATTGGGTGGGGAATTTACAAGGCCTACAGTAACTGGCACAAGCTGTTGCAGGGTTCCTGCCTGGCAGCGAAGCCAATAAATTAATTAAATTAGAAATGTGAGACAGACTGAAAAAGTATGGATTGACATAGAGCCAAATGATTGACAGAGAGATATAGCAGCAAAGACATACAAACAGAGATTGAAATTCAAATAAACATACTGTAAACAGACAGACAGACATATCAACAGACAAAACATTTGTGAGGATGGAGCACGAGGAAAGGTAAACAGACACAAGGCGCACTCACAAATTCACACTGTACCTAACTGTCTGTAAAACCAAACTGTACCAGTCTAGTTCTTATGATGACCAATGCCATTAAATACTTTGATTAAGTTTTTCTTCAAAAACGGCTACCATTTTATGTTCCTAACACTTTTCCAAACTATAACTTATATACCAGGAGTATACATAAACATTTTTTTTTTAGATTGAAGTACATTTCATATTTTTCAAAATTCTTTTAAATTTATGTTTATAAATTGATTTACTCAGCTTGATTAGCTTTTTAGTTATTCCGAGTAAGTGTTACCTCTCCTGTATTACTATATTATATTGCGAATTAAGTTTAAATGTTATTCTTGGTAATAAAACCTGTTGTTGTTGTTGCAAATTCATTGTAAATTCAATGTAATTCAGCTTTCGGGCTGCAATGTTGTTTTCCAGTAAAATCTACTCTACTCTAGCTATCACAAGGCTGAGATCTTTGCACACTATCTGGCAAAAACTCATTGCAGGAACAAAGGATAAAATTTGTCCCACCAACCAGACTCTTAAGACGATGCCATTAATCAGGATGTAACTTACATTTACATCAACATTTAAAACCAAACTACACCTGCCCCACTGTGTAGTAGCCCTCATAAGTGACTTTAAGTACTCACTGTCTCATTTGCCAAGGCAATCATACTGATAGCACTCTCTTCTGGCAGGTCACCTGTCCCCACCCCTACTGGGGTGACTGTTGTCAAAGCAGTCCTGCCACTGTACTGTTCTTCAACATTGTGTACCTTTCTGTTGTAATCATTTTGTAGCTGTTCTATTTCTTCTTGGAGCTTCTGTTTGGACATAAGTTCTGCTTCATAAGATGATTTCATCTTAGCCAGCTTTGCCTCATACTCTTGCCTGAGATTTTCAGTTTCCCTGGCCACAATGACAGTGTGATCCTGTGGTGGGGCAGCTATAGGATGAGCAGGAACAGAGGGCTGGGCTCCAGCTGAAGTTCATACACAAAAGTATAAAATTTTAGACCTGCATCATACAGATATAAACTGCTATTGCAACAGTCAAAGTAAAATTTAAATATTTTCCCTACCTGTTGCAAAATCTGTTGGAATTTCCATCTGCCCCATCAACATTGCTTTAAGTTTCTGGATTTCCTCCTGGTATTCCCTTAGAAGTGCATCTTTTGGATCTTCATTGATCTTGGGTTTATTCTTAATATTCTTTGCTCGATTTGCATAGCGTAAAGTACTCAGAGTTTCATCGTAGTTGTTGTCAGCAGGACTCAGACATGCAACCATCAATGTCTTAGTGTTTCCACCCAAGGAATCCTAAAAAAGTCACAACATATTCTATATCAATGCTTCCATTAAGTTTGATCAATCATGAACTGACCTTGCACAAAGGAATTTTAATTGTTTAACTCTTTAAACACTAACATCCGTATGAATATTCTTGATCTTCATACTGTTCTCTATACATTTCCTAAGGTGCTGAAAAGGAGAATTTGTTAAACAATCAAGAGCTTCTGTAGTAAATGATAATTTACTATATTCTCATGACCTTAATGTTTGACTGAGGGGTGATATTGTTCGGAGAAATTAGACACTGGTCACTTTTAGAAGTTAATGAATGTTGCAGGAGACACTGTAGCTTAGTAGACCAAATATCAAGAGATCCCTGGTTAATCCAGTAACTCCCACAATCGAATTGTTAAATACCCCTCAGTGTAGCTGCTTCACATTTCCTTATAAATGAGTTATGAGAATTTGGTGCTAGAGTAAGACAAGAGTTTTTGCTTGATCAATTTGAGTATTCTCATTGCCCGTGTGCTGGATAATGTAGAGATATTAAAGAGAGAATTTACATGTTGATCACATCTAGGAGTTAAAGGGTTAGGCCCGACCCATAGTTATTAAAATAGTGATGTATTCATGTGCAGTACACTTGATTCTCCAGCCAGCTGGAGATTACCACCAAATGTAAATGAGACCACCTATCAAGTAGAATTGACAATATTCTCACTTTATACCCCAGAAATAGGAATATACTGAGGAACATGTGTGCTATTTAGCATGCAAAAGAAAAGTTGCCCTAGACTTTCCCTCAAAATAATGAGGACTGTGCAGCTTTCCCATGTCTTTTAAGAACAAAAGAACTCTGCTCAGAGGATAAATACTGTCCTTGGACCTGTAGAAATCAAAATAGGCTTACCTGAAGCAGTCTGGTTAACTTGGAATCGCGATAGGGAATGTGCTTTGACTTTCCATCAACCAAAGCAGATATGACGTTTCCCAAAGCCGATAATGATAGATTAATCTTTGTGGCTTCCTTTAGCCGGTCTCCTGTAGCACCAGTTTTAGATTGTCTCTCGCTCCCGGCTAAGTCAACAAGGTTGAGTTTACCAGCTCTAATGTGGTCTCCCTTCTCATCAGCAGTCTCCATAATCTCTATGTTTATTGTGAAAATCGAATGGGATCTTGACGAGTCAGCATTCATTAGTGTAGCACCTACAGAACGATTCTTACTTCCAAGATCCATAACCTTCTCCATTTCAGGCACACTATTCACAGGGTTCATGGTAAGATCCTTGACATAGACCCCTCTATCTGGATGTTCCTTAAGTTCCAGCTTTGTTTTATGGTCCTTTCCAAGAAGATCTCTGATTTCTTCATTGTAGATCTCCAAATAAGAGGCATGAACTAAGAACTTGGTATTCTCTGCAACTTGAATGCTATCAAAAATGTGTTCAAATGCACGTGGAATTATACCTCTTTGAGTGGGAGGGTCAGTTATACCTTGCATACTAAACGACTTCCCACATCCTGTCTGACCATAGGCAAATACGGTGCCATTATATCCCTCTAATACTCCATCGACCAGCGGGAAACAGATATCATTGTATATGGTCTCAGTAGTAGAGTCTATATAATAAGCACCGTCAAATGTAAAAGATTTCGGTGGCTGTGTCTTATCTCCAGGTTTGTTTAAAGCACACTGCCCAGTAGAGGAATCCATCTGGACTACAACCTCACAATCCAAGTCCTTCTCGCGTTGGTTGAGAGGGCGACAACGAACAATTACCTTGACTGCTTCAGCCATGATTCTTGCGGAATAAGAAATAAGATAAGAAATTTTGTTAAATAAGCCAAAGAAAGTACATTGTGTAATTACATTGTACCATCGAGGATATAAATGTTGTGGTTCAAAATTTTCTTTGCTGTTGAATAAATATTTTTCAAACGCAGCCCTGGGTTGATTTCCATTTTTTCTTGTGTTGGATTTGCAAAATTTCCATGGAACAGCTGTATGGTTAATAAACTATTTCTGTCAGCAAGCAGAAAACCCAAGTTCTCGATACAAAAATAAACTTTTAACGTGCTTTATCGCCATTCAGCATGGGCAAGAAACTAACCAGGCTCTAGCCAGAACATTTCTACTAAACGCTTAGTACTTCAGGTAATAAAACTTCGCACATTTACCTAAGACATTTAATTATAGTAACGTCACGTAAAAGCCCTTCATTCATCCGTACTGCGATATCTAAACCTCAATCTATGTCGAAAATAATACATAATTTAGCTTGACCTTCAATGAAAATTAGTATAAAGCTTATTTCTGTAAGTTCATGCCGTTTGGTTTGCAGCAAAAATTGGTATCAATTCCTTTGATTCACGAAAAACATTGCGCCCACGAATTCAATAGTTCAAAAGTTCACTTTGCATCGAAGGGTTAAAAAAAACTGACCAAGAAAATTACGAGATTACATAAAGCATGAAAACACGGATAACATGGAAACCGTGGACAAAATTAACGACACGGAAATATTAATTAAGGTGGTAAGACTTTCTCTAAAGTTAGGGCTTCATTCATCTTACCTCTAATAAAAATCAGCTGCGTCACCTCTTAGAGTTTTCCAGGAATTTGCTTTCGGTTGTGCCTCCACGCTAAGGGCTAAACCCGTAAAATAGCTGAAGAAATCACCTTCGATCTGACCTCATCATGCTACGCGCATTACTATTTTAGGGAAAACATTGCAAGCAAAACAAACGACCGATCTTGGTTTAAATCATTACATATTCATAATTTGGCTGTATGTTTACAACACTGATCTTACAAAAGCGGTCGATGGGGAAATGTCAGCATATCACAGCTGAACTTTAAGTTTTTTCTTCGTCTGTGACCTCCATCTTCCTCAATAATGACGTTTTTAACCTAATTTGGAGTAAGCTTGTATTAGATACTACCATGGCAACCGTTCTCCCAGAGTTCTTATCGTAGGTAAGCAACACGTGCAAAGTACTGCTCTTTCCAGTTCTCGGGCGCGGGCATGGGCAGCATCCTGCCCTTAAAAATTCGTGCAAAATAAAAATTTCAAAATATTCAAATTTAATATTGAGATGAAATTCTTTCCACGTTATCGCTTACCTCTCATGTACAACTTGAAATGGTAAGGTCTTTTGAATTCTAAGGCTTTTGTAAATTACCAGAACCCAACAGTTTTGGCTAAATTATAAGCTCCTCGTAATATTAAAAAAAAATAATCTGATCATTGTTTATTATAATCGGAGGTTAAGCCTACCATATAACCACCCCTTTGATACAACCAGTACAGTCAAGCCATTTATTAGAGTCATAATTCTTTTCGTATTATTATTATTATAACTATCAACTTTTTGATTATAAGGAGTGACTTGCTTTGTAATTCTGTTCTTATGTTAAAGAAAAAGTCAAGGCGAGAGGTTAAGAGAAAGTAAAAGACTCGTTATTAACACAGCGATATCACTGGATTGCCATGACAAGCGGAAAGGTGAATTACCTCCTTCAGAAGAAGTGCAAATTAATCTGAAATATTGTTTTACCCCTTAAATTTTTTAACCTTTTCAATGCAGGGGTGACCAGTACGTAAGTTCTCCTTGCATTATCCGTTCATAATTGGACAGAAACTAAAGAAGAAAAAGAAACATCAGTCTTGGTAATAATTTGTTTGAGTTATGGCCAAATTATAAGGGCTTAAGTTACTGGATATTGATTGCAGACAATTAAGAGAATTAATATTGAAAGCTTTGAAGAAAAGAAAATACTCGCTCTAAATTTCTACTTAGAAACTGAAAGTCGCGGAAATGCCTGACACAAAGGATTTCGAAATCGAAAAGATAACAAAGCCCAGACAAAAGATAGCAAAAAATATATATATCAGTGATAACAAACGTAACAAGAAAAGACAAACACTTAGTCATCTTTGGAAGGAATTTTCAAATACGTGTCTTTGTTGTTGTTGTTTTTTTTTAAGGGGGCGTTACCTGACTCGAACTTACTTGCCAACGTTAACAACTGTGAAATCTATGCACTATTTTGGAAGGCTTGGCTAATGTTATCATGCTTTGAAAATAGAAGAACACGCCAAGACTCTGGCGTGAAACAGAATGAAACTACCGTAAGCGCTGTCGGTCTTGCTGGCACGATTTGTCAAACAAGAAACGTATGAATAATTAAACTGCATCAGAACGCGACATTTCTTATTCTTTGAACTGCGATAGTCAGTATTTCAAAGTGTTTTATAGGCTTATATTTGAAGTAATCAAGATAAACCAGTATCTCTGGTAATTCGGTTTTAGTATTGACGAGGCCTGTACCTGTACCATACAGCAAGCCCAAAAATATTGAAATTAATAAGCTTGTCATCATAAAACCGGGAGATTGTATTTAGTTCAACACACGCAAGGTTGCACGGGAAAAGCGTCGTGCAATAATTAATCTAAGAGTGACACACTCGAGTTTATTTCGAAATATTTTGGAAGTGAAGCTTGAGTGCGCCGTCAACCTATAGTGAAAGCTCCGTTTCGTTTTGTTTAACAAAGCATGGCGAAGATACAAGGTATTAACGTAACGATCCCTTTCTTTATTGATTTAATGGATTTTTGAGACGCTGTAATTTATTTTAAGGTCTATTAATATTCCTGTTTCGATGGCGTTTCCGTGAACAGGAAAACTATGTGAGCTTTATGTCATCGCATTGTTCTTCAATTTAACGCAGAGAGTTGGTTTTTTTTCTTTTCCTTTCAGCTGGTCCAGTGGTTGAAATGAAAGGAGACGAAATGACACGGTATGCTGATATTAATTTCAAGGAATTTTTAGGACAAAGTTCACTTGAAATCGCCGTGATGCCTTCGAATAACTTGCAAGGGTCAAAGTAAAAAAAGAAATGATCATTTTACAGTACTTTGACGTTTTCGGTCAAAATTTTAAACCTTTCTTTACTAAAATTGTCATGCATCAGACGATGAAATTAAAATATTGAACGGAAATGATCGATTTTGTACATTACAAATAATGTATGCGCATGGATGAACCAGCTGTGACGTGTGAGTCAATGGAGTATAGGAGTGTCAATTTTCGCTGACTAATTCCTGACCAGCTTATGAAGGCCATGCTCTCACGAAACGTTTATTTCAAAATCACAGTCATGTATTAGGTAGAGAAAACATACATAGAATCTTAGAAAGGTTCAATTTTGCCTCTTGAATTTCTTTATTTTTCTGTCTAACTATACGTATCGTCTAAGACGAATACGCTCGAAGATAAACTGAATGTCACTGCCAAATGAATAAATTGATAAACAAAAATTTCCAATCCTTTTCCAGCCGACTGCACCAATTGCTAAAACACTTTCTTGTCACCGGTATTTATACATAAGACATATTGATTAGATCACCGAGATTTTGTTGTTATTAAATCAAGTGTTACATAAAAAACATCCTAATGGTGATCGATAGTGTGTGGTGTGCACAATTTTGTGGTAAGACAGAAAGTTAATTGGAAACCCATGGTGACCTCATCATTTGCACATGGGCTCAAGAGTGAAAAATCTGTAGAAGTTTCAGGTTTTGGTTTCAATAAGGGCCTTTCTGCAATAGCAAAAAAGTTGATTACTCTCAGACAAATTTTCTGTCATCACCAACATGGTTTTTTCCCGATTTGAAAAATTTTGGCCGAAGTGGACAAATCTTCAAACACACTTCAAACAAAATTTGTCCAAGGTAAAACCTGGACAAAATGAACTAAATAAACAAAATTGCAATAAACTTGTTGATTATTGGTCATGAAGCCTAGGACCAGCATGTAATTGAACTGAAATCAGTTTACTAGAAAGGCACTGATTGTCTTTTGTTGCAAAACTTGGGGATTCTAAAACTTAAAAACAACTTAGAATGAATCCTGAAAATTGGTGTAGGAATCCTTTGGCAAACTATGCTGGCTGGTCTCAAAAGCAGATCAAGCACTGACTGAATGTGACAGCTTTGAAATTTTTAATGGGGATTCTACAGACGAATTAAAAATTTGTTCTCAACAAAATTTGTCCCTTGATTCTGTTGGAACAATTTTAGTGTTGTCCACTTGTGCAGAAAGGACCTAACTTTTTCAATAACCAGCTGATGATGGTGTAGAAGAGGGCTGGGCCCATTAGTGGGGCTGTAAGGTTACCCAGATCAGAGTGTTTAAATGCCTGCAGGCCAAACAGGTGTCAGTCAGAGGTCTACAGCTGGTAGTAACTGGCTTTTATTGAAACCCTAATGGTCGAGGTTTAAATTTTGCCTAGAATCACTTTTTAGCATTTGAGAGCAGAATACTCTACTCTTACATGCAGTACTTATTCCCAACCTGAGCTCAGTTGTTTGAAGGTTAGATAAACATTTACTATCCAATGGATGAATTGGTAGACAGGGCCAGATTGCTGAAAGGGGGGTAATAACATAATCTACGATTAAAAGTTAACCTAGGCATTCATTTCTGGTGTAGAAGAGTGCTTATAAGAGCTAGGGCAGTCTGTTGGGCCTTCTCTCATTATGACTCAAAACTAAATGGGCAAAAATGTACAAAATAAAAATCCCTTTACAGAGCTATGAATTTAATTTAAAAATATTATACTAACCCCAGGTTACGTTAACCATGTTTTGAACAGCACGACCCAGTAGGTAAATGTCAAAACAATTGCAATTTTACTATGCTATCCACTGGATAAAAATGTATCCAGTGATTAGTGTTATCCAGTCTTCAAACACTAAGAGTATTTGCACAGGAGATGTGAGATGAGAGATGATGTGTCAAAGAATTTCCCAACCAAACACATCCTGACTTTATTTTCTCTTTCTTTTAAGGATTATTTGGGAACTCATAAAAGAAAAACTAATATTTCCTTATGTGGAGTTAGATGTGAAGTCCTATGACCTTTCCATTGAGAATAGGGATGAAACAGATGACAAAGGTATGTAGGGTGTTGCATTTTATTGAAGTTTACAATTCTCCAACTGTCAGAAAAATTTAGCCTCAGTTTCAACTTTATCATAGGGTTTCTTTGAACCCATCAACTCTTAGAAGTAATTGACAGTTAACATCATACATGATTTTGAACTATTCACAAACAGGGATTGGTAGATAGAAAACAATGTATAATCAAGAGGGTGTTAGGATCAAATCCTGGAAGCACAAGAATTAAGTTACTTAAAAGTTGTATTTATTTATTGAGTAACTTTTCTCCTCAGTCACTACTGAAGCTGCAGAAGCAGTTAGAAAATACAGTGTAGGGATAAAATGTGCTACCATCACCCCAGACGAGAAAAGAGTTGAAGGTGAGTAAATTTCCAGTTTATACAAGTCATGGTATTTCAGAGACTGACTTGGTAGGGACCTGAGGTACAATGTATAGGCAGCAATTTCTCCAAAAAATATGTCTGGCAATGTGCATTTATGGGATTGTGATGTTTCATTCAGTCCAGTCAACAAGAATTCAATAACATTAATATGATTAAAATATCATTCAGCACAATAATTTTGCTTAGTGCTAAGTAGCATTTTGAACAACCCTGCTAGCCCAAATTAAAGGTCATGAGCCCCTAAATAAAAATACCAGTGGAATGCATATTATATTGTTTATTTATTACGGGTTTTAAATACACATTCAATCTAATTATTGTTGCTGCTGTTATATATAGTCACCATCTTCGTTATCATTGTTATCGGTTTCATCATCATTATTATTGATATTTTAAATATTATAATTATAGGTATTTTATATTTCTGTCAATAACTTTAACTCTGTCCAGACCATGTGGCACGTCTCACCTTGTTTTTTAATTTGGCTTTCAGAGTTCAAGTTAAAGAAAATGTGGAAATCTCCAAATGGAACAATTAGAAACATTCTCGGTGGAACTGTCTTCAGAGAAGCTATAATTTGTAAAAACATTCCAAGATTGGTTCCAGGATGGATAAAGTCAATAATTATTGGTCGCCACGCTCATGCTGATCAGGTATTAAAACTAAACACATAAAGATAAGAAAGTATGAAGCAGTGGATTTCATTTATTAGTGGCATGTTAATTGTTTGGGGATGCTGGAAGAGGCAAAAACCCTTTCACTCCAAAGATATCATGTCTTGAGTAATTCCCCTTACTATTAACATTTAATTCTTGTTTTTTTTTGTTTGGAGAATATGGTGTTTGATCAACTAATAATCCCCTAATTGATGTTTTACTTAATTTTTGTCACTTGTCTGTTTGATTTTGTACATACATTGCAAGAAGAAATTTTTGTCTTAATCTCACTTAGTTATAGCATTAAAACTGGTGATAAACATCTACATTACAGTTAGTTTATACTGATTCCACAGGTCTTAATGTTAACTTAAATGGCAAAATTTGAGTGATAAATCATTCCGGAAAAAAAATTGGCTTTTAACAGAGCTAACAAAGTGACTGGGTAAACAAGGGTAACAGAAAGAGGAAATGAATGAGCTTTGATTTTGATAATGTCATAAATAACTAAAAAGCTAAAATAATAATTAAAAAAATAATTAAAAAGATATTGCTGTTAACGATATTACAAAAATAAATTTCTTATTCTTGTTGTCTTAATAAAAAATTGTATGAATATTTAACTTGTCTTTTTTTCCATGAAAAACATTTTTTCTGATAAATTAGGCCCAAAACAAGGGTGTGCATTATACATGGGCACATATATTATACATGGGTAAATATGGAACAGAAAAGATGGGTGAAACTCTTTACACTCTAACATCAACGTGCATATTCTCCATACTGTTCTCCAAATATTTCCTAAGGTGCAGACAAGGAGAGATTGTTGAACAATCAAGAGCTTCTTCAGTTGATAATCATTTCTTTTATTCTCCTGACGTTAATGTGTGATCCAGACCTGATATTGTAAGGAGAAATGAAATGCTTCACTGTACTCTTTCTTAGGGGTCAAAAAATTGTTAAGGGGTTTAAAATAGCTTAAGGAAACAATTTATATTTTAAACGACTGACATTTGATTTAAAATTATATTCGAAATCAACCAAACTCATGTTTTATTCCTTTCCCAGTACAAAGCAACAGACTTTGTTGTCCCAGGCAAGGGTAAAGTGGAGATGATATACACTCCTGATAATGGCGGAGAACCGGTCAAATATGTTGTACATGAATTTTCTGATGGTGGTGGAGTAGCCATGGGGATGTTTAACACAGATGAGGTAAACATGTGACATTAGAGATAAAACTGGGTTACCAATTGAAAAAAAATGTTATTTAAGTTTCTGAGCTTTATTCTCAGCCTTCATCCTTCTTTAAATGAAAGATACTAGAAGCAGAAATGGCCAAAAGACTTTCAGAAATAAAATATAAACTAAGTTGGGTCCTTTTGTAGTAAGGTTTCTACTATCCTTAGCCACCCTCTTAGAGCCTACTTCCTTGAAACCAAGATTACGAGATATAATCTAAGAAATAATTTATCCCCTGTAATGCCCACCATTTGCACAAACTGTTTTAAGAATACCTTTTTTAATAGAATTGTTTTTAAGTACAATGTAGCTTTGTAAAAGTGTACTTCTTGTATTCGATTTTCGTATTTGTCTCTACGTATATATTTATCTTATTGAGAGATACACCTTAGCTCATTTACGTCCTTTTTTAATGTAACATAACTGTCTTTTGAACAGTAAAGACACTATTATTATTATTATTATTTTGTAATACTCTTTGAAATTTTGCCCTTTTCAATGATATTACATTTGCTTTTGCACTTAATTTGTCTTTGATTTTTTTTTTTAATACATTACATACATACATACGTACATACATACATACGTACATACATACATACGTACATACATACATACATACATACATACATACATACGGGTACATACATTGATTGACCACTCCCTCATGGCTTTTCAGGGCCATTCTTACAATACCACCCATCCATCCCACTCCAGGGGTCTGTCAGAGGACATCATCCACCACACAGTAATGTCGTGTGTGCGAAATTAACGTCTCCTACCCCTAACCCTGCAGGAGACAGGGCCTAGTCGGTTTATTCGTCCTTATCTTAGAAGACTAGAATATCTATCCAATTCTTGATATTATAGAAAGGTAGCAAATTCTCCTCAGTTATTTTAAGACCATGAGTATTGGTCTGGTTGGGGCACAAACCCTCGACTTCCAGCACAACACAGTCTGGCGCTCTAGCCAATTGAGCTAACTAGGGGACAGCTTCAGCGGTGTTCATCTTTTACACCTTGACATCAGTTTGCAGGTTCTCATTACCATTTCTATACATTAATTCCTTTGAAAAATTTTCCAAAGACAATTTTTCCAGCAATCAAGGGCTTTTTGAGTAGGCAATCATTTTGTTTATTATCATGGTCTTAAAGTTTGGTTAAGGATGATGCTGTCTGGAGAATTTAGATGTTGATCACTGCCAGGGGTTAAAAAGTAAATCAAATTCAAGATTTTATGGTCCCATATGTATTCATTTATGAAATGAAGTATTCATTTATGAAATGAATGTTAATAATTAGCATGAGGTTTCAACCAATAGGAGTGGGCAAAGTCTCAACAGTTGGTTATTAATTTTTATCAACAGTCAACTGTCAAGCCAGTTTTGTCATTCTGATTAGAGGATTTATTGAGTTATTTCAAATTTGTTGCTGTCATTAGAAGACAGAATATCTAAGTATAAATCATTCTTTATCCTCAGTCCATCAAGAACTTTGCGCACAGTTCTTTTCAATATGCGCTTGAGAAGGAGTATCCCCTATATATGAGGTAAAAGTATGATAATAAAAAGACTTAAATTTCCTAAAGTTACTTTAAGTTACCATTTGCAATTAATTCCATAATTTTTGCCATATTACTATTTATTCAACATTCAACTTAATACATTAGTATTTTCATTTTTGAATGAATGGAAGTTATCATTGTTAATAATAAATTTTTAGTTATGATAATTATAACTAAAACAAATGTAAGGATGATAAATGATTCTCTATACAGCCTGCACGCACAATGTGTCTTCACAAACTTTTGTTTTGTTTTCTTTTTTCTCTTATAAGTATCCCTTCTTGATTTTGGTTCTTCTTTTTAGCACAAAGAATACAATTCTCAAAAAGTATGATGGTAGATTCAAGGATATTTTCCAAGAAATCTATGAAAAGTAAGTCATATATAACATCCTCCCTTAATTTATCGTGTAAGATGCAGTCAATTACTCCTATTTGGTAGCCACTCTTTCCTCAGTCCAAAAGTGCATTTTGAAAAAAATCTCCATTGAGGGACCCAAGGGTTTAATTCTTAGTTACCATAGATTCTGAATCAAGAGGTTCAAGTCTGGACCAAAGAGCCCATTTTTCCTTTTAACCGCCACCTGAAAAATCCTGGAAATTTGCCTAACTCAAGCAGTAAAGTTTTCAGAATTCACACTCCAAGAAATGCATGTACATGGCCATAAGAGAATTGATTTTAAAATCTTGGGAATGAAATGGATAAAAGATGAAATTTGAAGTCCTTGAAAAATCAATCTGAGTCCTGAAAAGGTCCTCGAAAAGTTCTTGAAATTTGTTCCTGTAAAAGGGTACAAACCCTGTTTGGTCACGAAAGTATGAAAAACACCATTCAGTAGTTAACATTTAACCCCAAGAGACCTTCCCCCCCCTTTTTTTCTGAAATGACTGATGACTGTAACAGTCTGTAAGAGATGGCAAATAGAATTTTAAAATGTCAGCTGTAATCATCTCATTTTGTTATTGGTATTCACTGATTCATATATATAATACCTGCTATAAACAATTGCAGTAACCCTTCCTGAACAATGCATGATGTATATCGATCAATTTTTGGCCAAGCCAAACTTCCTTTTGCCCAGTTTGATGAGGGCAGCAGCTATAGCTAAAAGGGTATGACTTCCAAATTTAAATCAACTATTTTGAAAATGATGTATCCAGTTCTCTACTGGACCTACATGCATGCATCCTTTCAATTAAATGTGTTGCTTTGTCTACTTTTAATCAGGGACTACAAAAAGAAGTTTGAAGAAAAGAACTTGTGGTATGAGCACAGGTTGATTGACGACATGGTAGCTTATGCACTCAAGTCTGAAGGTGGCTTCATGTGGGCATGTAAAAACTATGATGGAGATGTACAGTCAGATTCTGTTGCTCAAGGTAGGATGTGTGCCTGAAATAAGGACCAAGTTTTATACAGTTTATTTTTATTGACTCTGTACTGGTGTCATGTTGGCCATTAGTCAGACTTAACAGTGCTAGTCGTTCCAGTCAGACAGTCAGCCAGTCAACCAGTCAGTGATAAGTGCAGGCAAAGATTATCTTTGCAGACTTGTTTATTTATTATACTCAGGACTTGTTTATTTACTATACTCATGGTCACTGATTAATACCAGTCGATCTATATCTTGATCTACTGACCGGTTTCTTACCAGGATAAATAAAGTTATTATTATTATTATTATTGTTATTATTATTATTATTCATACCTTTTCTTGTGATTAATCAGATAGTAACTGTTTAAATTAAAGACCTAACTGTGCACATTGCAGGATTTGGTTCACTTGGTATGATGACCAGTGTTCTGGTGTGTCCTGATGGGAAAACAGTCGAAGCAGAAGCTGCCCATGGAACAGTGACAAGACATTACCGTATGCACCAGCAAGGGAAGGAGACTTCTACGAATCCAGTTGGTAAGATTCTTAAACAGTTCTCACCTTGATGTAATACTGCCGCAAATAACAAGGACTTTGAACTGAATTGCATCCGAGTCATGCTGGCTTTGACCCGCTCACTGTCCTGTGATTAGTTTAAAAACGTTTGTCTCTTCCTCGACTTTCTCAAGCAATCAAGTGCGAAAAATTAAAAGAATCGCATTTTAGTCAGGAGTGTTTTCCCACCTTTGGGGCAGTTAACTTGAGATTTTCTATGAAATGCCTTTTTTTTAACTTGTAAGAACTGTTTTTTCTACATTTTTTACCACTTAACGCTTTACAACCTCACATCAGTATGCATATTCTCCATACTGTCCTCTATACATTTCCTAAGGTGCTGACAAGGAGAATTTGCTTGTCAATCAAGAGTTTCTGTAGTTAGTGATCATTTCCAATATTCTCGTGACCTTAAGGGTTGATTCAGGGGTAATATTGTACGAAGAAATTGGATACTAGTCATTTTTAGGGTGAAAGCGTTAAGTATAAAATTAGGCTACTTCTCAGTTACTGGTGGTGATTCATCATCTTTTTTTTTTGCTTTTAGCCTCCATCTTTGCATGGACAAGGGGTTTACTTCATCGAGCCCAGCTGGATGGTAAGTGAAGTTTTATACAACCAACTGAAAGCAGAAGCCAATTCTAAGGGTCAGGGGCCATGAACGGTTTTGAGGTTGTATGCTATTTCACAGCAGTCAATCATCTGCACATGTGTTGGAATTTCAGTGGTCTTTGAGTGTCTTAAGAGGCAATGTAACATAGTCCTTTCAGACCAGAAGTCTTAATGACTAGAAAGTCAAGTTGTAGAACTTTTTGGAGAAAGCTCAAAACAGGAGGGTAAATCATTAAACCACATGTTACTGAATGATATTTGTGTGATAATAATAAACTACTATCCAGTGAGGGTAAAAACACATCTAAAAGTCCTAGATTTTTATTTGCTCTTCTGCATGACAATTGTTTTTCCATTTATCCATCTTCCCTAAAACTCTGCGCAGGAAAATGGCATCTGACAGTCTCGGCTAGCCAAAATTGACCTGTTTGCGCATGCCTAACAGTAAACTGCTGTTTTGTATGCTATATGCGATTTTACCGGGTAGCTTTTCATTTATGAGAATTTTTTTTTATTGTACCAGGAAATGACAATCTTGCCAACTTTTGCCACGCTTTGGAGGAGACGTGTATCGCTACAATTGAAGCTGGTCACATGACCAAGGACCTTGCTGGTTGCATAAAGGGATTGGCCAACGTTCAGCGGTCGGACTACCTAAATACTTTTGAATTTCTTGATAAGATAGCTGAAAATCTAGCTGTAAAATTGAAGCAGTCGCCAAGCCATTTGTAACTAGCCAAGCTATTTCAATGGAGGCGAAGTTTTACTCAACCAATCCAAGCAATTTTATAAGAATCAAAGATTTATCAGAATGAAAGATTTTGTTCAGGCAAGGCCAAGAAAAACTGGAAAGATTAGCATGCAAGCCTTAAAGTCTGGTAATATAGCAGCAGAAGATCCTTTTACATACTAGAATAATCCCCCCCCCCTATTATTTGGAATATTAAAAATTTTTGGTCTTAGTTCAGATAAATTTATTTGATTTTTTAATTTGAATTTGAAATGTCCAAAGGTAACCTCTATCGTTTTCTTAGAGAAAGACACATGGACTTTTTCTTTGTCCTTGTCTCTTTGCAAATGAGTACAGTAAAAACCCGCGTGTAAGAACCTAGTTTTTTTCATGTCTGGCAAAATAGGTTCTTATGTTTTGGGGTATTTACTGACAACTTAGGCAAAACAGGTTCTTAATAGGTTCTTAGCCTCAATATTTCAGATGTGAGGACATGCCAGACTTAATTTTCTATACTACACTGTACAATACACCGTGTACTGAACAATGTACTTAGTTATACAGTTTAGAAGTTTATACCCAGGAGTACATTTTTTTTTAACTTGCTTTAACACATGGCTCGGAGCCATAAATACAGTGGAGAAACTGTATTGTGACATGTTTTATGGAAGTGTCAAATGTATAGAGAACATTAATCTTATAGTTACAGACACACTTTGCTTAACAACATTGTTTCATTATCCAGAACGACTCTTCATATAAGAACCATGCAGGTTTTGGTGGGTAAACAGGTTCTTATATTTTTGGGTATTAAAATCCAAAATTTCTGCCAAAAAGGTTCTTAATTACTAGGTTCTTACACGCGGTTTTTTTTTTTTTTTCACGCGTTTTACGTCGTCGACCTACAGTAGTTTAGGTAAGAAAGCCTTATTTGTCCTCTTTTTAGGTGAAAAAAGTTGATGGCCACAATTTTATTTAAATCAAATGATTTTTTAAGGACTTGAAAAATGGTCCAAAATTATAAGAAATTTTCAATGTTCGAAGTGAAGCTGTGTTAACCAAAATGAATTTCGATCGTCTGGAGTTAAATTCGATTTTAAATTAATTTAACACCAAAACGGTTCTTTTCAATTGCACATACTGTTTTATAATACGTACGTGATGTGAATCCAGGAAGCTGTGATTATTCTTTTTGGCTCAGAAAGTTAAAATGAAATTAAGAAGAACCCGGTAAAAATAATGATTTAGAGCAAAGTGATATTTTACTATTGTTTCTGTTAAGTTCTTGTTGTTGCCCTCGTTAGGTAATTATTTTTCAGTGTAGCTTATTTTTACCCAATTTTAGTGTTTAACATTGAAACCTGAAATGCCGGAACACTGATCGAGGTTAGTCGAACGAAGCGCTTCGACATGAATGGTCTCCTTTTAAGTCTAGCGAGCAAGGGATGGCGAACACGGAGTGGGAGACTAAAAGAACTCAGGATATCGCTCGCGGCCCTCGCGTACTGGCCGAGCATCCTGGAGTAGGAACCTGGGTTGGGAACAGACTAAGACAAATCACAGTTTGAATTTGTGCCATGTCCCGCGAAGCGAGTGATTGTTGCGATCTGTGTATTAGGTTCAATTTTTTTCTTTTTCGCTGTTTGTTTGCATGTTTTGTTTTCAGACCCTTAATACTATATTTTAAAGGAAAGTACTTTGTCCAGTGCACAATAAAGATCGCATTTTTGTCAATTTTTTATGATCCCTTGTCTTGTGCGGTGTGAATGCTTGCTTATCGTTGCGATTGTCCTTACTTTGGGAGATCTTCCCTAGGTTTGCCTCTGTTCATTTCGCATTGTACTGCGGTACACATTTGCTTTCCCTTTGTGTCCACATTGTTTATTATGAGCTGTACTGCTTTACCCTTCAATAAAGACGTTATTCAAAAGAGTGATTCTACATCCAGTAATGATACAGATAATTTAAAGGAAAAGAGTTTGCTCCTTATGACACGAGAAAAAAAGTCACGTGATGCGTGATACAAAAGCGAAGGAAAATAGTAAACCCAATCAATGAGGACGTTTTGGAAACTCTTGCATCGCTTTCCAACTTGCTTTGTTGTTTCTTGTTGACGTTTTTCTCATTGCCATCAGAGGGGACTAACTCGTCCCGTCCCCCTCCCTAGGCGAGAAAGAGGAACGATATATATCCTGTTAAAATATCCTGCCTAGCTTCAATAGACGGCCGCTCTGCGAATCGCTCTCTCTCTCTCTCTCTCTCTCTCTCTCTCTCTCTCTCTCTCTCTCTCTCTCTCTGCACTAACCTTTTAAGAGCGCTTCGTCAGTGAAAAACTATGGAATAAATGAAAAATTGGCAGTACAGACTGCAAATGGCTACTGCTGCCGCATTTACCACAAGAGAAAAAGGATTTAAGATATAATGACTAATTGATACCGGAAAAATAAGTCAGATGGTAACAAATAATCATATTACCAACAATGATGATATTATGACAAAAATATCAGTGATAACGATAATAATAATAATGGTAACAATAGTAATAGTAATGATCAATTATAGAGGTTAGCTCAAGAACCTCACTGTACGTCTATCGGTCCATCCTCTAAGCTCCAAAATAAATTGCCCAATGAGCAACTTACAGTTTACTTCTAAGCTCACAAAGAAAGCATTTGCCATCCAGTTACAGACACATGCTGACCAATGGCTTGTTCCCGGAAATACAGAGTGCGTATCGTCAGCATCACTCCACTGAGACGGCATTACTAAAAGTCAAGAACGATATTCTTATGATGGTGGATACGGGTCATGTGACACTCCTAGTTCTTTTAGACCTCAGCGCCGCCTTTGATACTGTGGACCATGATATTCTTATTCATAGACTTCAGTCACTGCTCGGCCTACGTGGGTCAGGTCTTAGTCAGTGGTTTCAATCATGTGACACTCCTAGTTCTTTTAGACCTCAGCGCCGCCTTTGATACTGTGGATCATGATATTCTTATTCATAGACTTCAGTCACTGCTCGGCCTACATGGGTCAGCTCTCAGTCAGTGGTTTCAATCCTATCCGCTGAGAGGTCGATCGCAACAAGCCACAATGTCATGAATGGTGCTCTATAGCTTTCCAACAAGTTCGGCCTAGAATATATGGAATGCCTCAGGGTTTATGCCTTGGTCCCCTGCTTTTTACCATAAATGCTAGCAAACTTTTCAGCATTACTAAATCTCACCTGCCTTCTGCACACTCGTATGCAGTTGATACTCAATTATACCGGGCACTTCGCCCATTAGAGAGTACATGGGAATTAACCTGAGGTGCTAGTTGCTATGGAGAAATGTATCCCTGATGTTCGTTCATGAATGATTAATAATAAGTCGATGTTGAACGATGATAAGACTGAGTTTATGGTGATCGGCACAAAGAAGCAGCTGTCTAAAGTGTCTGTTGGCAGTATTAGGGTTGGGGACGTTGATGTACTTCCCATGTACTCGGCAAAAAATCTGGCCCCTGGTTCGACTCGTACATGTATATGGCAACACATAACAAAGACGTGTGGTAGTGCATTCTTCTATCTGTATAATATCCGACATATACAGAAATACCTTACTAGTGACTGTAATGAGAACTTATTCATGCATTTATAACCAGTAGGTTAGACTATTGCAACAGTGTCCTTTATGGAGTTCCCTACCATCACAAGCAAAGACTCCAACATGTCATGAATGCCTGTGCGCGATTGATCTTCTGCGCACAACATTGTCATATTACGCCACTCCTTCAACAACTTTACTGGTTGCCTATCCGCTTACGTGTCGAGTTTAAAATCCTTTTGATCACCTTTAAAGTACTCCAGGGCTCAGCTCCCAAACATCTCAGTGATTTAATTTCTGTTTTACCGCCATCCCGTTATGATTTACGGAAAAATAACAAGGGAATTCTTCTGAGCACACCGAAGCGTTTCACAAGAGTTATTATGTGGTGGGGGAGGGGGGGGGGGAATCGATCCTTCATGGCTTTGGAGCAGTCTTCCCGTAAGCATTAGATCTGCTTGCACCGAAAGGGATGTTAAACAAAAACTTGAGACATTTTTTATTCAGCAAGGCATTTTGTTAGTACAATTAGTTTATATCAAGATTTGATATGGTTTCTTTTTTCTGCAAATTACTTTTCTTATAGCCAATTGTAATATTTTAGTTTTCGTCTTTGATTGCATAGTGATTATAAATAGGGTTCTTATTTTGTATTTATTGTAATGTTTGTAATGCGCATTTGATTATTTTCATAGAAATTGCGTAATATGAATATAAGATATTACTATTATTATTATTATTCTAATTTAAATTTTGTCTATTAATTATGAATGATATTCGTACTTCATTGCAATTCCATTTTTGTGATACTTTACTTTTCATACAAAATTCAAAAAGGCACTCAGTGATGTAGACCATAAGTATCCAAAATCCAAAATCGGCCATAAGCGTCAAATATCCGAAAGGGGCCACTCGTGTCCAAAATCTAACATCGGCCACTGGTGGCCAAAATCCTAACATAGTCCGGATTAGTAACCAAAATCCCAAGTCTGCCACCAGTGGCCAAAATCTTACATCGACCACTAGTACTACACAAAACTCCAACACGGCCACTAGAGGCAAGAATAGAAAAACTGCCAAATGCCAAAAATGCCACCAGCCACCAGAAGCCACTGGTGCCTAAATGGCCACAGGTGGCCGAGATGACAAAACGACCACTAGTGGAAAAATTGCCGAGACAGCTACTAGCGCCAAAATTTCCGAAAGAGCAACTAGTGGCTTAAACACCAAAACGGCCACTGAAGGCCGAAGTTCCAAATCGGCCACTAGATGTCAAAACAGCCACTGGTAGCCAAAATTTACGGCAGCCACTAGTAGCCCTGAAATTGCAAAACGACAACTAGTACCCAAATGCCAAAGCACCTACAAGTGGCTAAAATGCCAAAACGGCCGCTAGTGGCCAAAATGCCAACCAAATGCCAAAGCACCTACAAGTGGCTAAAATGCCAAAACGGCCGCTAGTGGCCAAAATGCCAAAACAGCCACTAGTGGCCAAAATGCCAAAATGGCCACTAGTGGCCGAAACGCCAAAATGGCCACTAGTGGCCAAAATGCCAGAACGGCCACTAGTGGCTAAAATGCCAAAACGACCAGTAGTGGCCAAAATGCAACACAGCCACTAGTGGCCGAAATGCCAAAACGGCCGCTAGTGGCCAAAATGCCAAAACGGCCACTAGTGGCCAATCGTAAATCGTTTATTAAAAGCCACAACTTGCAGCTATAAGCTGAATTACTTGTGTTATATACGACATGTTTAAATATTCAAATCATAAAAATTCCTAACTATACTAGTATTAATTTTCTATTTACAATTGCTCTTTAATTGCAAAGTGCATTATGAAAGTTCTAAACCTCTTTGTTTTCACATTCGGGATTAATTGAAAACATACGCCTAGTCCTAAAATCATATCTCTCACTGTCATTGCGCGCGGGCAGCAGGCCAGCTAGTTTAATGCTGGTCACTTTCTACTATTTGTTTAAACAGACTGCTACAGAATTCGTCACGTCTATGGAAGAGTGTTTTTAAACCCGCATCTTCCAGGGACTTGCTATATGAGACCTCTGGGAATAGGATCCTTAAAACTCTTTTTCTGAACTCTCTCTATTTGGTCGGACAAATAGGCTGGCAAACTAGTATGGAAGGCCTGACATGCATATTCCAGAATGGAACGTATGCACGCACAATAACACGTAATTAGAGACTTACGGTCTACGCCAGCGCGCTTGAGTTGCTTAAGCGAGTAAATTCGTCCAGACGCTTTCATAGTAATACCAGTCTACATGTATGATGCACGATCCTCGCAGTAGAGAGCGCTATTTATGCAATAGCGAAAATCAGACCTGAAAAAAAATCAGGCCTGTACGGGGTTCGAACCACTGACTTCTGCGATACTAATGCAGCGCTTTACCAATTGATTACGAATCAACTTAACGGCCTGCTCCCAGTTGGCTTGTTAGCTCAATTGGTAGAGCGCTGCACTAGTATCGCAGAGGTCAGTGGTTCGAATCCCGTACAGGCCTGATTTTTTTTTCAGGTCTGATATTCGCTATTGCATAAATAGCGCTCTCCACTGCGAGGATCGTGCATCATACGTATCTAATACCGCAGTTCAAAATATATGAACTTCATATATTCATTGTATCTGATTTATCATCACGGGTTTATTACGAATCAACTTAACGGCCTGCTCCCAGTTGGCTTGTTAGCTCAATTGGTAGAGCGCTGCACTAGTATCGCAGAGGTCAGTGGTTCGAATCCCGTACAGGCCTGATTTTTTTTTCAGGTCTGATTTTCGCTATTGCATAAATAGCGCTCTCTACTGCGAGGATCGTGCATCATACGTATCTAATACCGCAGTTCAAAATATATGAACTTCATATATTCATTGTATCTGATTTATCATCACGGGTTTATTACGAATCAACTTAACGGCCTGCTCCCAGTTGGCTTGTTAGCTCAATTGGTAGAGCGCTGCACTAGTATCGCAGAGGTCAGTGGTTCGAATCCCGTACAGGCCTGATTTTTTTTTCAGGTCTGATTTTCGCTATTGCATAAATAGCGCTCTCTACTGCGAGGATCGTGCATCATACGTATCTAATACCGCAGTTCAAAATATATGAACTTCATATATTCATTGTATCTGATTTAT